ATTTGATACAAACCATATGTATTCCATTTATCATTTGTCTTTCTTTTTGTGAAGTTGGAGCAGGTTGTGTAACCAAAAAAAAACATATTTTTACTCTAATCTTTATCTTTTTGAAAAACAAACCTTTCTTGATGTGTATTCCATTGATTTGTTAGGAAATTGTCTCTAGACCAACTCTTGAGCTCATATCTCTTAGTCTTACCCATAAATCTCAGTTTGCAAGGAGTATAAATATAAATATGAAGAGTATTAATTACTGCATGATACCCCATAGACGACCATATTCTTTTAGGTGAATAATACAATATCATATCAACAACCTCAAGTAATTATACAACTCTTTTTCTTATAAAGATGATAATAACGGGATTCAAAATCCCACCACCATTGGGACAAATCATCCAATACACTAACTGACCTACACTTCAGTTGGTTTGTAAGAATTAGCTAAATGCATAGCTGTTCAACATGCTCCGAAAACAACAATAACTTTCCTCATCATTTATATAGAACTTATAACCATTTAACTTAGGGTAGATTTCTTAAACTATCTTTAAGGTTTAGAAAATTGACTAATTCTATCTTTACTGTTTCAGTATTGCCTTAAAGTACCCCTATTGTATCAGTATTGTCTTAAATTGTAAACACACGAAAATATATTTTTGCCCATGCGAAGACACCTGAATTTCATCGCACTTTTCACTTTATTCTTCCTCCCAACACCAAGAGGTAGTGATTTTGGTTTCAATCTTCCCCCTCTCTCCTATTCTCCCTCTGTCCCTCTTTTCGTTTTGACTTTCTTTCCCCTTTCCCCTTTCTCTCTTCTTCTTCTCCTTCTTCTTCCCTTCCTATTTCCTACCAGCGTCATTCTCAGGTCATTTCAAATCCTGAACTCGAATCAGCCATGGAGGGGATCTCATGGCGGTGACATTCATTCTGTTTTTCATCAAATTCCCAATGATTTTTCACCATTTCCTCGGATCTGTTTTGCCCTCCCCACACTTATATCAATTCAACATTTAGGCTCCTAAATCATCGTTGGTCCCCTTTTATCGATCTTCACTGCATCACAGTAACAACTGCTGCTCAGATTTGTTTTGTTCTCAATCTCAAGCGAAACGAGCATCCAGACAGTTGATCTTTTCTTTCTTAAAGAATTCTTAATTACTTCTTACGATCTTAGAAAAGATTAAGCAATTAAATAGTTAATTCCTCAACTGTTCTGGGCATTCTGCCTTTATCGTAGCAACTCATTCTGGAGAGTTTGGATGGAGAAATGTGATTCAGTTCTTAGGGTGATGATTTTTGGGTTGCCTATACTGAATTCGGTTTGGTTGCTTCGAAATCTTCTGTGAAATTTGTCTCTAAAGGCACGACTTTATCTTAAATATTGTGATTGAGGTAAACTTGTGTTTTTCTCTTTTTCATTCTGTGAATTTGAAGCCAATTGGAGGTAATTATGAATACACTTCATGGTGTGATGGGATTCTTCTCTAGGTGGACTCGAGTTTATCAACTTCATCTAACAATATTGGGTTTGTTTTTAACCCTTTTTTTTCTGTTGGAGTTTGTTCTGAATTCTTTTTCTCTATATTATCATCACCTTATTACGAATTTCACCACGGAGGGTCTTATTTGTTGCATTGCGGTGGAATTCCTATTTCCTGCGTAAGAAGTCTTCAATCTGACCTGGGAATTCCACTTTCGTATTGTACAAATGAGGTTTTCTTTTTCTACATGCAATGGATTTGCAAAATAATTCATTTATAGATGCATTAGACATTGCAACCTTTCTCTAAGACTATTTATTTCTTTTTTATTTTTTACTTGCTTTTTTTTATTGGTAGATGATTAAAAAAAATTCTCGAAGGTGAATAACGACAGAATATACATACAAAGATAAAAATATAGAATCCGAAAGAAAAGATGAAAACTAGCCCCAGCCTACTACTCTCGATAACCCCTCTGCTGGAGAAATCCTCAGGTTTGCTCCTAAGAACGTCCCCAATCGTCAGACCTCGTAGTCCTAGTAGGCTTTGTAGAAAGGCCACGATGTACTCCAGTTGGAGTCCGACAACGGTTGTGCCAAACCCCAGTTGGAGAGAGAGAGAGAGAGAATGGGGGAGGGAGAATGCTCTGTTTCCGGAGAGAGAGATAGGGGGAGAATCAAGCTAGAGATGAGAGAGAATAACCACTGCCTAAGGTTGCAATGGCGTCAATGGCTTAGTTGACATTTGACAGTCCACCTTGTGTGAAGGAAATTAGGAGAGAGTGTGAGGAAAAGAGAAAGATTCTAAGGGTATTTTTGAGATTTTTGAAAAAAAAATTGGTCATGTGATGTCATATGTGATCAAGTATAACGATAGTCAATAAGGGAGATTTTAGACAATTGTCAAAAACAATAAGAATACTTGAAGACAATACTAAGCCACATATATTTTACCATGGCATGGGTTATTATCATTGGTTCCACAGCCTACTTTTAGCTAATTAAAATTCACTTCCTAATATGATCTATACCCATACATCTCACCATAAGACTGAAATCCATCAAATCTGAGATGTGTCGACTGTTCAACACAGATCATATTGTAATGTGTTGGCATGGTTTTCGCTAAGAGTAGATCCGGTCTCCAGCCAATCAAGAGTCAACCATGGAAGACTTTACTTTTTTTGTGAGTTAAACCCAGTCTCCTTTTATGCTTAGGATGAGCGATGCACCAACCACCACATTAAGGTTATATTTGGTTTGAAGAAAAAAGTGAGGAAAGGAAAAAAAACTTTTATAAATCTTGTATAAATTTCCCTGCATTTTTCTTCCTTTCCCTACTCTCTCCTTCAAACCAAACATAGCGTGATGGGGAGAAATCTGACTTTATTAGTAGCATCATTATCTTCTAATATGAAGTAGGTAAATAAACTTGACTATAAAATTGGACCCCCTAAAAAGTAAAATAAAATACTAGTAGAAGTAGAACCTATAAAACACATGGGAAGGTTGACCCACCGCACCCTCCCATTTATGTGGTTTGGGTCACTTGCATTCTGATGACTCGTATGAGTAAACCCGCCACACCCACCCATTTAGCCACTTATAATAATTAGACCATTGATATGTGAAAGAGACTCGTTCAACCGGTGATACCTCTTGTCTGTTGACTTCAAATTTGGTTTTAGTAAAGCATATAAAAAAAACGACCTTTAAAATTAAATTATAAAGAAAACAGTGTTGTCAGATTCGGATTGGACCTGTAAGTGAAACCGGTAAAATAGAGGCCCAATAAGCATTTTTTAGGTCCTTTTCTTATAATGTTTACAGACCCAAAGCCCAGTCAGGCCATGATCACCTCTAGTGCTACAAACAAAACCATCATTCAGTGGATCCTACAACTGAGCCAAAATCAATTTGGATTTTTATCCATAATAAATATGTTTTTAAGCCTTTAATACATATATTTGGATAAAGGTTAAATGTTTTATGAAGACTCAAAAAATTAAACGTGAATCAAATGGTCTTAATAGATCATGTTATTCTCTTTTAGGCTGTGTGCCTGTGTTTGCTTTATTCTTTAAGATTTTTCCCTCAGGCTTTCTGTTTCTTTCTTTCTTTTTTTTTATTTATAAACCAAATACAGCCTTAGAATTCACACTTCCTTCTTGTGAACCCGAATTAAATAATGGGCACGCTAATGATGAAAATAGAAAATCAGAACACGTGATGTTTTATAATTAACAAAGGACTGACGTGCCCGTATTTAAACTGGGGGTCGCAACATTTGTAGAGATGTCATCTATAATTCTATAATGTTATAGCCTCTTAATGGGCCTATCTAATCATGGCTTTCGAGTATTTACTATAAAAGGGCCCAGCCCAATTTAACATCATAATACACGGAACCATTGTTCAGTTTGGAAGCAGTACAAATGCAAATATATAACGTAAATACATACAAAATATATAAGATTTTACACTTTATATATTTGCATCTGTACTCTTTTCAAATTCAGCCTAAATTCCAATAAACCATTTCACTGACCGAATGGTCCAAACTGCAACATCTCGAGCGCTTCTGAACAACTGAAAATCTATGAACCGGTGAACATTCAACTAGGGTTGTCAAACGGGTTGGATCTGGTTTGAGACAGAATTTATTAGTTCCATCTCCATTATTAATCAGGATAAAATCATAGATTCAAAACCATCTTAATTATTAATCTGAACAATCAGATATGACCCGATTCTATGTTAATAACAACTTAAAAATGATCGTAAATAGTAAATTATTTATATATTAATAATTCAAGTGTTGATTCGGAGTAAGAAAAATCAGAATGCATTATTAATGAAGACAAAATCACAGAATTTCTGATATAATTGATTCGATCAATTCCAAGTGTGGAGCTAGGGGACCAAAGGGAGCCATGGTCCCCCCTATGGCCCCAGTACCTCGCAGGATCCGGTCCCAAGAAGGCCCAGCTATATATGAACCAATATTTCTTTGGTTCTTAGCCCAAGTGTTACGAGGTGTCCGGCCCATCACCATCTCTCTCTCTCTCTCTCTTTATTTATCTATTAATTAAACTGCAAGACTTCTTCCCAAGCGAACCTTACAAGCTTTTCGCAGGATCCGGTCCCAAGAAGGCCCATGTTAGAACATGGGCCAGCTATATATGAACCAATATTTCTTTGGTTCTTAGCCCAAGTGTTACGAGGTGTCCGGCCCATCACCATCTCTCTCTCTTTATTTATCTATTAATTAAACTGCAAGACTTCTTCCCAAGCGAACCATACAAGCTTTTTGTTCATTTCTCAATCTCTCGATTTCTCGTTCTTTTTGGGAAACCCGAAACCCGAAACCCTCTCTGTTTTTTTTCATATTCTAACTCTTTCTTTGAAACTGTTTTTTAGTGTTATGTTTTTGTATTAAAGAAGAAAACAAACAATAGACCATAGAAGTGTCAAAAAAGGGGGACACGGCGACATCAGGAAGGTCGCGTCGCGTCGTGCTCGTGTGAGTCTGCGACCCCGCTCTACTCTTCGTAGCTCTCGTCCTCACGCTAACTATAAATACTCGCCCTTCCATTTGTCTTTGCCACTCTCTCTCTCTCTGTCTCCATATTTCTCAGGACACGTCTTCGTTTTCCTCCTTTCTTCATCCCAGACTGCGAATCAAAGAGCTCAAAAGTCTGGCTTTTGGATCACGTAAAGGCCCGGATCTTGCCTTTCCAGCAAGCATTGCAGCTTCTTCAATGCCGCATTTTTTGCTTTTTGTTTGCCTCTCTCTCTCGGTTCTCCTGTTGTTCTGATTTTAGATCCTTAAGGTACGAACTCTGCTTCTCTACTATGTTTATTTTCGCGGGTTTTTTATTGAAGTTTTCATTTTGAGGTGAAGATTCGAGCTGTTACTATGTTGTCATTGCTGCATTTAAGGAATTGTGTGTTTAATCATGATCTAGATCTATAGATTGTCGAATTATGCTATATTCTTTTCTTGAAATCACGAAGGCGGTTAATTACCCGAACCAGAGCTTTCTAGCTCCGGTAGATATAGTGTATGTTTCTATTTTCATAAAGATCTTTTTTTTTTTTGCTTATTTTATTCCTTTTTAATCCACGCTTTGAGACGATGTTCCGAGCTTCCAAGTTCTTATTTATTTTCCCAGAAATTGTAGTTTTTTTTGTAATATTTCGGATCTGTAAATGGCCGAATTCTACCTGTGATCTTACGAACCAAATGCTGTTATCAGATCTTGAAGTTTATCAGAAGTTAGGATCTTGGCTATCCAGCGATCGATTGTTGATTGCTTATCAGTTCTTCTTATGAAATTATAGTTTCTCGTTTTCCTTTGATTTACATATCAATTAGATATTAGAATAATATCCTTAGATTTCGCAGTTGCACGTAGAATAATATCTCCGTTTTTGAGGTTCTAAGTGTCGGTTTGAGTATGTATATACGCAATGAGGGCTTTACTTACAGAACATTATTATGATAAGTTCTTAAGAGGAATAGTTCCTCTATATCTACTCCATAAATTTATCTAGTAAGTCTTAAATTCTTCCTTCGAATTTTTAATGCTCTGGCCAAAATGCAGGGTTGTCTTCACCATCTCAATCATGTGGAGGTTCAAACAGTTTATGCCAAGGGAACATACTGGGCTGGAAGGCCGTGCTATTGATGTTGGCAACATAAAGGTTCAAATCCGGAATGCAATTGCAGAAGGTGGATTCTCTTGTGTTTACCTTGCTCGTGATGCCATTCATTCTTCAAAGCAGTACGCATTGAAGCACATTATATGTAATGATGACGAATCTATTGAGCTGGTGATGAAGGAGATCTCGGTGATGAAATCACTCAGAGGACATCCAAATGTTGTTGCACTTCTGGCTCATACTATTTTAGATATGGGCCGCACAAAAGAAGCATTCCTTGTTATGGAGTTCTGTGAAAAGTCTCTGGTTAATGTATTGGAGAGCAGAGGAGGTGGATATTTTGAGGAGAAACAGATTTTTTCCATTTTCAGAGATGTGTGCAATGCTGTATTTGCAATGCACTGCCAAACCCCACCCATTGCTCATAGGTAATAGTTTCTTACTTCAAATTTTTATTTCCTTCAGTATTAGATGTTGTATGGTTTTTCTTACTGTTTATACATTCGATGCACCATTCTGTTTGATTGACAACCTAGTATTGTGTTGTATGGTTAAGAAGTAGTTGGTGAGTTTCACAACTATGGTCTATATTGCCTACTTTTTACCCTTTTTTGGGTTTGGCACTTGAACCACAGAAGAGTTACATGGTCACAGATATGGCCATAATTTTTTTTTTTTGATGAATGATAATAAATTTATTAATTCAGAAGCAGATTTAGAGTGAGTTCATACAACATCCCAGGGAGAGGCGCGAGCTGCAGCCCCTCCTTGAATCTTACAAGTAAACTAGGAAAGAAAAGCAAGAATCACAACTGAGCTCAAAACAACTCTTCCCTATTTACCCCTTGCTTAGCTAACACATCTGACAAAGTATTTGCTGATCTCCCCACCCACTGTACAGTGACCAACATATTCCTTGTCAATCAACTAAATTTCTTCATTTCATTCTTGTAACGCCACATAGCCTCTTCAGGATTTTTCAACCAACCCACCACCACTTTGGAATCCCCCTCGATTGTTAGGTGCTGTACCCCCAGCTGGTTTGCAAATTGCACCCCTTGTACAGCAGATATGGCCATAAATTACCTCTTGATTGTTCTGCCATTAAAGCTAATAGCCCCACCTTAAACATAACAAACCATAAAATGTATGTAAACTACATATAATTATAACTTATAAAATAATGCAATACATAATTGTATGTTATCAATTTTTATTATGGTATCACTTGTCACTGGGTCAATCCAGTGGTCTGACCATTGATCCATGACCCAGTCCGTCCCCCTTTACAGGCTGTAACTTATGACTTGTGAGTGGCCTAGGTCCCAACAACACTGGTTATAGGTAATTCATATGAAATAATTTGTTTAACGGCCTTTTGTGTAAACACTAAATTTCTATAGTAATGAATGATCAAAAGGGCTTTATTAGAATCATTGAGAAAGAAAGAGGCCCTTGCTATTAAAATAGTCTAATAGCAGTGGACAATACAATAGCAATAGATGACAAGTACTATGGGAATAAAAAGAAGTCCTTTGCCCCTTATAGCTGTCACCCTGGACCTGGGGCCCCTCACTCAAGAACCTGTCTTCCAGTTCCTCCTCTATCTAGAAAGGCAGCCAATGCATTAGCTGACCACAGGATCCATCTGAACAAGCTGTTCAAGAGGGCATTTATGGCCTTAGCCTCTCTCAGCTTAAGGGTCAAGGGCTTTCCTTGGCTAAATCCATCCACCTTATAAGCTATAAATCTGCAGGAACTATATAATTACTTTACTACAGTCATTTTTAGGTATTGATATTATTTGGGTGAATTCTGAAATCATGTTTGATTGTGACAGGACAAGTCTTCATTTGTCATTAGAAATAAAGGCAATCTCCTTTTTTTCCCTCCTACAAAGAAACTTTGAGAACGAATTAAAGAAAGAATTTATTTTGAGTTCAAAAACAGAAGGCATGGCAGAGAGAAATATGGAATTGGGTTTTAGTTCATTCAAAGACTGTAAAAACCAAAAACCAGTAATCCTTATAATGAAGGATAAATATTCTATGCATATGGCAGGTGGAATCAAGTTGGGTGAGGGATAACTTGTCTATAAAAACTAAAAACCAGTAATCCTCTCTTTTTTTATTGTTTTATATGTGGAAGAAAATTTTCATCACATTGCACCAAGAAATGACCCTTATATAGGAGAGCTGAAGAAGTTAGCTATATATTGAACTACTTTTTTCCTTTTTTTATTTCAATTTTCAGCAAAATAGAGGTAAGTTAAATATACTTAATTCCTACTCTTGGTGCTAGGTTGTTTCCATGTTGCTGTTTTGTGCTTTTTTTCATTTGTAGTCATTTCAAAGGAAAAAGAACTTTCAAGTTGTGATTTTTCTTTCTTTAATCTTTTTTTCCAAGAAATTTGCTCCCACTTATTTATCTTCATTGAATTTGTCAGAGACTTAAAAGCTGAGAATCTTCTTTTGGGGCCCAATGGCATGTGGAAGTTATGTGATTTTGGCAGCACGTCAACCAATCATAAGCGCTTTGAAAGGCCTGAAGAAATGGGCATTGAAGAAGACAATATAAGAAAGTACACGACACCTGCCTACAGAGCTCCTGAGGTTGAATGATGACCAACTTTGTAATTTAATACTAAGCTATGGTAATGTGAAATGACAACTATGTTTTCCTTTTTGTATGATGTTAGATGTGGGATTTGTTCCGAAGAGAACTCATAAATGAGAAAGTAGACATTTGGGTAAGTCATATAGACCTCACTTTGGTGCAAAATTAATCTGGTAATAATTAGATCTCCGTGGCTCTCCTGTTAACTTGAGATCTGTAGACATAATTGAGAACTGAAGTTATCTTTCTTTTTGCAGGCTCTTGGGTGCCTCCTTTACCGGATCTGTTATTTCAAATTTGCATTCGATGGTGAATCAAAGCTCCAAATTTTAAATGGAAATTACCGCATTCCAGATTTACCAAAGTATAGCTCGTCCATCACAGGCCTGATCGAAGACATGCTTCAATCTTCTCCAGATGCCAGACCCGACATCACGCAGGCAAGGGCTTTGCTTGATTGCCCATTCATCTCCATGAACCTAGGTTAGTTCTAGATTATTTGTGTCCATGGTAGTATTAGGTTAGTTCTAGATATATATATATATATATTTTTTTGCTTATTGAAAACAAGTATTTTACCTTGTCGCAGGTTTGGTTTCGTGTTAACCAGCAGTTACCTGTAGAGTTGCAGAAATCATTACCAGACAGACCACCTAGCATGCATCAACCAACTGTTGCCAACCATGGTGAGGGTGAGAGCGGACCTTCATAAATCTGCAGAGCCTCTTTCACACACGCATGCACACAAATAAGAGAGCTTTAAAATTTAAATTGATTTGTAGAATATAGTTTTTTCTTGGTTCACACAGTCTGATGTATTCTGTTGTTAGTAGGGATTTCAAATACTACAAACACAAACAGGGTTCCTGCAATGCCTCGGAGGAGTCCTCCACCCCCTCCTTCATCCAGAGAACAGGTTCAGAATGTATCACCACTATCCGGTTTATCCCTCAGTTCCACAGCAAGTGGAGGTGGGTCTTCATTAGGGTCATTCTGGACCACTCAGCACGCAAAGGATTCACATGTTTCTGCGAACAGGAGTAAACCGACCATTCATGTAGAATCAAATATTCAAAGAACAATGAGTCATGGCCGACAGAATCCAGATAAACTTCATCATGCTGAGAATTTTAGCCCTGCAAAAGTGCAGAACATCCGCACCTGCTCTGTCAGGAATCCACGTGGAGTCTCCCTCAAGAGGTTTGATGATGTCCCTTCCAAGGACTTTGAAATAAGATTTTTCTCGGAAGATACAGGCCATGAGCCCAAAACAACAAAAGTATCAAATTCCAGTAATGTAATTACCTTCCAAGATGAGGCATTCAACACTTTTGTTGCTGAATTTGATACCAATAAACTTGACTTGGGAAATAGTGGTAATAAGAATAAGAAGAAACCAGGGAAGGAAGAAGCATTTGAGGCTGAAGTTGATAGGCTGAAGGAGCAGTTAAAGCAAGCTAACACAGAAAAGGCTGAAATAAAATCCAAATATGAAAAGCTTTCTGCCATTTGCCGTTCTCAGCAACATGAGATTCAGGAGCTAAGGCAAGCTCTGGCTGCTAAAACTGTACCAAATAAAGAAGCCTCGAAGAATCAAAATTCTTTTGGAAACTGCCAGTCTAGCAATCCTCCAGTAATGATTCTTTACTTCAGTTCTTGTGTGATGGATATTGTTCTTCAGTGGAAAATGTTATTTATTTTTTATTTCTTTTCACGTCCTAATGAGTGATGCTTGATTCATTTTGATAGCAAAGGGAGAAGATCGAAGGAACAGTGCGGGAACTCCAGCAAGGGATTCTTGCCAGCAGTTCTCCTATCCCAGACTCAAAGCCATGGCGGGCATTCTTTGATGAAACCAAACCGCAAACTCCGCCAAAGAGTAGCAGTCCCAGATCGGTTCGGACAACAAATGGCCACCAGAATAAACAAGCACCTAGTGGGCGACATGGTCCCGAGACATGGAATTTTGAACCAAATAGTTTCAAGGAATTTCCCTCCAGTACTCAGGTAACACAATATGGTCAAGTGCTCAATTTTCAGCTCGTTGCTGACTCAAAGAGCGTGGAAAGGAAGCAAGCTTCTCTGCCTGCTGGATGGGCTGGTTTCTAACTCCAAAGTATTTATTTATTGGAAAGTCAGCAAGCAGGTGTTGATCATTATTTTATTCGCGCTTTCACTATGGTTAGATGGGCTATCAGATTGTTTTCCATGTTGGTTCTTTCAGTTTCAGGGGGGTAAAGAATGAAAGAATGCAATGTATGGGTATCCGAATTGTTGTTTTGTTTTTTGTGCTCTCTGGTACCGGTCCTATGAGTACTGGAAAAGGAAAAGGAAGAACACAAACACAAATGTACTCGGGTATCTCAGGGCCATCACCGGACGACAGATGTATAGTTTTTGCATCATATTTAGTGGACAAATAAAAACAAAAAAGATGGTCTATATTACACCTCATTGGTGTACACTGCATAAATTTAGATTGACAAAATGATATATCAGTGACTGAGGAAGCTCAAGAAAACCATTCGCCATGTGGCAGTCATCCCTCCTACTCCTAATACAATGCCATGCAACACCTGTATATGGACCACTCACGATACAACACATCAGCCTGATATATGGACCGCATATCTATAGAGCTGAGTACACCGTGCTTAAGTAATGGCAGTCATGCATCTGTGTGGAGAGAATAAATAAAATGGTCTTCTGTAGTACATTTTCAGGTTATACTTTGTCAACGAAATTTAAAATTCAATACCCGATCGACTATGGTGTTGGAAAAACAAGATACCAATCAATCAACATCATAAAATTGGAAACTAATCAAGTGGGTTTTTATTAAAATTCACCAGCAAAGCTTTTCGGTCAAGGAAGCTGTCTCCCATCCAAATATGTCTTTTTCTCTTTGTGGTGCTAATCTCGGGTGATTTGTGGGGTTAAGATGCCCCTCTTGTGTAGCTCTTTCTATTTTTATCAAAAAATAATTAATTATTATATTATTATAAAGTGAATATTTATCTTGATTTTGGTGCAGATCATAAAAAGTTAAATTTGATAGTATCTTAATAGTATCTTATTAATGAGTAAATCTATGATGCAAAAAAAAATATAATATGTAGAGTTTTGACTAATCAAAACCACTCATGAATTTTGATAAATAACACCTTATTTGTCATCATATATGTGATTTCAGTTTATTGATCAGTTGTTTTTTCGGTATTATATCTTTTTCATATCATAATCGAACCCATTATTAATATATCTTTACTTCTACTTGCACTGGTGCATAGTATAATACCCCCCCGCACTAATTGACAATAAAGTGGAGGCAGATTAAGTCTGAATCCAATATGCAATCCCATATTTTAGATTTCATATCAGATTCGAATTTAAATCTTAATATTCAGATCAGATTTGAATTTGATTGGATCCAATCTAAATCCATTACTGTCTTACTTGAAAGTTCTGATGCCCTAGGGTTCTAGCCTCCAAGGCCCAGACCGACCCAACCCAAAAGGCAAGGTTTAGAAGTTTCCTGGTGGGGAGGGATTCTGGTTAATGTTAGTGAATATATAATTTATCTCAGCCTATATACAGATAAGTTTATGTTACATCCTTTCGCTTATATATTCATGTTATCGGTACTAAATCTATGATTGGAGGTTTATGCACATTGAGACACTTGTGATTGTTTAATCCATTTTCCAAAACCAGGAGTGTATGGGGGACAGTTTTTAAACCAGTAAGTTGTGCTTTTGTACAATCAAATTGGTTGATTGGATTGTTTTGATACTTTAACCTGAACCGCATTAGCATTTAATTTCTTACCACAATCTAATTTGAATTTGTTTTATTATACTAAAAGTTGAGTGGATACAGGAGAAGTCCTTTACCAAAATTCTTTCCACCAATTTTGCAAGTTTAAACACAATAAACGATGTCAAATTTGTTGGTGTTAAGAGAATGAAAACTTTTTCACCTAACACAGCCTAAGCTTTTTAAGTCTAGTGTTCTATCTTCCTTTCCCCTATGGATAGGCCTATGCTTGTCGCCGCTTCAAGTCTGATGGATTTTCCCGCAAGGGATACAATCTATTAGAGAATAAAAACCTATACATTCAAGGACATTGAAGGATTTTGTCCAATACCGGATAAGTATGGGTCCTGGAGCTATAGAGGTCGAAGCAATCCAACACCTAGCTATATGTCATGATCTGATTGGTTCACAGTCATGAATCAGAATTGGAATTGAAATCTATTGGAATCAAAATCAAAATGGCATGTTCCCATTGTCTGTTTGGTTCAGATAGGAATCAAAATTGAAATTGAAATCAACTGGTGGAGTGAGATTTAATTTTGAAGGGAGGGGGAGGAAATTGACATTCCCTCAAATGGGAGAGGGAGAATGCCATTCCACTAAGAATGAGAATGGATTTAGATTTCATCCATCCAAAGAGTTGGAATTGGAATGGCCGATAGATTCAATACTCCTATTCCTGTGAACCAAACGGCCCTTAATTTCATGGGTTCATCTGTTAGGGCATCTCCTCAAGATTCAATCCCTCCAGCTGCTGGGTGGGAACATGTGCGGAGGCACGCACCCATGTATAATGTATTGGCATGCATCCCCTTTTTACCAGTAACCCGAATTTCATAAAAAAAACTGCAGGGAGCTCGGCGAATTATTATTACATATTTATTGTTGTCATTTATTATTGTATGTATGAAGCTTATACTCAAATGGCAGTAATGGTAGCGTGGATGAATCCATCTCATCCTCCTCAGCATCGGCATCGGCATCGGCATCGGCATCGGCTCCGGCCACGGCGACCACCTCCCCTTGGCTTCTCTTCTCCCTGATGATCACCTGAGAATTCTAGGTGATGAAGATACTTCATGACCAACGACGAGTCGCAAGGTAGCTGGTTGTTGGCACCCTTCTTGGGGCCAGATGTCACAGAGACGTCAGTGCTGCCGATGCTGTCTATGCTCTTAATCCTTCCCTTCCCCAGGTGATGTTGACAAAGTGAATACCCCACCATTGTCATCTGGCGACACCTCCATCCTCTTCCATTTACACGACTGCATCTCGATCCCTCCAGCAACACTGTTCCTCTCTTTCGCCTCTTTTTCGGATAATTCTCCTCCCCATTGGTTTCCTTCTTGATGCCGTTGCTTTTACCACCGGCATCACCGTTGAAATCAGTCTGAGTGCCCTTGTCGACTGTTTCAGCAACCGTCTCTCTTCCCTCATCTATTACTGTCGTCTCTTCTTTGAATTCTCGAACGGAGTCGTCCATTGTCTCACTCTCAACTAATAGTGGCACGCCATGGTTATCTGGTTTGTTGCCCTTCCCGCCTGCTGTCTCATCTTTCACTATTGTCGGCAACGTTACTGGCTCTCTCACTGTCTCTTCTTCTTCTGCTACCAAGCAATACGTTCCTTTTCTCTTCTTGGGTGGAATAATCTCCATCTCTGTCTCCCGCTCCGCATCAACAAAACCCGAGAACCCTAAACAGAACAAGACAAATGACTTTTTCTCTGTAAGTGATGAAGGCATTGATTAGAAACGTTTTTTTTTTTTATATATACTGAAACTCTCAAAGTGAGAGTTCTTGACCATCTCAACATTTTGATTGACTGCCCATCTCGTAGTCATGGCCCCATAGGCCATAGGATGGAATAAAGCCATGAATAGTTCGGACTTGAGCAGGTCAAGACTCAAGATCGGTTGGGTTTTGGAATGCCCAGTCTGGATCTATCTGGATATATATTTCCATTAATTCCGTGATGGGTGAGAAGCCCCGGAAAGGAAAGTGGTCGTGTTGGCTTCAGGTAGGGTTAAGAATTGCCACCCGCTCCGTTTGGTTGCTCAGAGCGGAGATGCACCTCAACTCAAGGCTGAGAGGCTGAGAGGCCGAGACCCACACTATGAAAGTAAAACTAAGATTCGTACCTTGGGGAGTGGAATCGAAAGGCAATGCAAGCAGAGCAGTTTTCTGTTGCCTGTAAGAACTAAGAACCAGATAAATCAGGGACTTGGTGCGGTTATGCTTGATAAACAAAACCAAACAAATCAGTGATTTCGTGCAGTTTTATATATACTTGATAAACAAAAACAAAGACCCAGTAGTTGATTCTTCTCGTGAAAGACAAAAATGAAAATGGGTTCATTTCTCAAAACCCTGAACGATCGATGAATTTGTGCTCTTAAATCTAAAGTAAAATCACAATGAAATTCTTGTACGTAACTGCAAACAGGAATCTTTATCATACTGATCGATGATGAGATGATGTGTGAGATAAGCATGTGGGTATGTGCACGTGGTGGGATGAAATAGAGATATACATATACATGCTTGCATGCGCAGATATATAGAACTAGGGCGGGCGCTTACATTCCACAGTCGGCGTTTGGAATCATCAATGTCTTCTCAGCGGCATCTTTTTCAACTTCATCTCGCTGCTTCGTCCCCATGGTAATCGTCTGTGACAGATGAAGAGGGAGTGGATCATTGATCCCCAGATGGTGGAGAGGATTATTTCTTGGTAGATTAATGCAAGACCAACCAATGCGCCTGTTCTCTTCTACTACTGCGAAACTCCTGCCAGAGTGCAACCCTTGCGGTGCTCTGGCTGCGGGAATCCCCATTGATGACCTAGCAATGGGTGGAAGAGGAGGAGAAGGGGGAGAGCGGGGAGGACATCTCTTTCTGATCCACATCGATCTCAGGTGAGACTTGAGAGAGACTTAAGGGTTGGTGGTGTAGGACCAATCACCAAAGGGAGTGCACTAGCTAGGTAGGTAGAGCGAGTGAAGAGAGGAATATAATGGTTGAAAGAGGAAATAGAGATGGGGTTTTATAGACTAGTTAATTTCTCTGGTGTAGTTTTTGGGTTTGGTGGGGTGGGAGTGGGAGTGGGAGTGGGAGGACGAATGGTATGGGATTGCACATTTGTAGTCTCTCAAGACTGAAGAAGTCTCAAATTTAGGGAATACGACGAGGTAGGGCAGGATTAAGGAACAGATCACTCTTCTCTCTCTCTTCCTTCCAAAAGGATTAGGCCATAGTAATTATGAATAAAGTTGCATGCTGAGAGGATACAGACAGTTGTCACGTCTACGCTGATTCTACGGAGTTAATCGTAGAGAGGGTGCAAGAATGGTGAGCTTGCCAGAGTGTAAGACGATGTGCACCACTCCCTTAGTCCCTTTGTCTTTAATACGTTTATTATTATTATTATTGTTACCAGATGAACCTTTCCTAGTTTCCTTATTCCTTTTTAATTTAAATTTCAAATTCATGTCATGCCTAATAGTGTTAATTAGCTACTGCTGCCTACTGGTAGTAGTAGTAGTAGGAATAAAAATGTCAAGTAGTAATGCTTGTATAAATCAACAAATAGTCTTTAACTTGTAACTAAAATTAAAAATATTTCTATATATGATCGTTTCATTGTGCAAAATTAATTAATTTACTGTTGTTGGAATTGAGACTTGAGAGTAGTAGCTAGAGCACACATCTGTACGTTGTGGGTATTATTAATAAAAAGGCAGCCGTGTTTTATTTATGTTTCGTTTGGGGTTTTATAAGAAAGTGATGCGGCCATTATAACAACAAATTTGAACTCCATTAATCAACCTTGTTTTGTAAACAATCGTACTTCTTCAAAGAATGTTGTTGCATCAAACCAGAACATGTTCATATTTTATAGAAGATGCTCATAGATTCTATGCATACAGATTTTCCATACCCTATAGAGTATAGGCCTGTGAATGAGAAGTAAACTTGGATATTATTTTGATTACGGCCATAAGAGACCACTTACAGCATCCGTCAACAGAATCGAATCGATCAATGACAAGTTGAAGGGACTAAAGAAGGGCTAACTAATTTAAGTGCTGGAATGGTGAAACAAGATTCATGTAACCGATAAGGCTTAAGTGATGATGATGATAATGATTGACATGATAGAATGTCACCTACTCGATTATAATCAATTAGACTTAGCCAAATATAAAGGTGGAAACTAGTTTAAATTCTCTATGGGAATCAGAGGATATTCGGCATTCATGATGCATCAGATCATCTTGACATGTGAATGGAACTGATATGGCATATTGTGATTAGCCAGTATTACAAAGTAGAGCTATAGGGTATTCAAACTCCAAATTGAATACCTCGCTCAAACAAATCCCTAGGTTTGCCAATTAAGAAATGAATCTTTTTTTATCACTAGTTTTTTCAAGTAATTTAATCCTTCTTTACATTTGTTGGTCTGTGTTTCATGCTATTCATTCTTTTCATTTACTTTTGCTTCTTTTTTTTTTGTTCTTTTAATTTTCAGTTTCTTGTAGGAGCTAGGGAAGAAGGGAATGGTGCCACCTTTTTCTTCTTTCTTCTTTAGATAATATTACACTTGGGCCCCGTTCGTTTATATTCCCCGTTCGTTTACACTTAGACCCATGGAACAAAGTATATAATTTGGCTATTTACCTGGGAAAATCTTTCCCACATCAGAGGTGAATAATTTACTTTCCCATCCTAGACTAGAGAACAATAGACCAACTTTGATAAGACAAAAATACCATGAACGATTATCATGACTACTTTGACTTTTATTTTGGGGCAAAAAGCTATGATGGCTAGGGCTGTCAATGGGTCGGGTCAGACCCGATGGACCTGGACCAATTGGATCGCTTTTGGTTTCAGAATTTGTCCCGATGGGTCGGTTCTAGGTCTTAAAAGATCCTGATTATTATCGGCTCAGATCCAGGTCCACCTTGTCACGAATTGATTTGGATTAAATAGATATATGATTTATGCTATGTCATATTTAAATAAGGTGAGGCTAAAGGTGTCATTTCGGTGGGGTGGGGTTTCTTTTAAAACCCTACCGAAATGCTGACCCCCCTAACCAGTTAACCCTTTTCGTTTTTGTCTCTTTGAAGAATTTTTCTTTCACAGTTTCTCTTACATGGCGTTTGATAAATCTGAAATCTGAAAAGTTAAAAAGGCATTATTTGTGTCTGAAATCTGAAAAGAAGCATAGGTGCTTTTCTACTTTTTAGAGGCTTTGAATCCATAAGTTCGTTTGTATTGGATCAACCCTTTACTATCTGAAATTCACTGGTTTTACTATTTTACCCATAAAACATACTATTTGGAAATGTTGAGTTCAATTCACATTATATCTCATAAAAAATAATTTTCAACTTTAAAATAATATTGAAACAATACAAATAAAAAATAATAAATTATTAATTAAAAGTTACTAATTAATAAATAAAACGAATAAAATTTAAAAAATAATTAATGATTATAAAAATATTAAAATAATTAATATTTTACACTAATAAAAATTAAAATAATTTTTAAAAATTAATGAAATAATTAAAATTACTAGTTAATAAAATTATAATAAATAATAAATAACACAAGTTAAATTAATAAAAAATATTAAGATAATTAATAATTTATAATTATTACTCAACCATCGCCGCTACAAGTTGTAGTGGCGGTGGCAGGAAGACAAGAGAGAGAGAGAGAGAGGTCGAAAAGAAGAAAAAGGTGATAAACTACGGCCATGAAAACCTACCTGAAGCTTAGGTTCACGAGCGACATTCTTCTTTCCCGTCCTTGAGAGTGAAACCACGAATGACCTAGATTTTTTTGGTTGGGATTAAGCAGAGGCAAAGCGCATCATTACGAAAAGAGTTGAAGAGTAATTTCGACCATGCACCAGCTCTAAAATGTGTCTAAGCACGTTAAGAGCCATCCACACACTATCATTTTTAGATCTAAAAACAAAAGACACCAAACAGGTCTGAGGTCTGAAAAGGAACGCTTTCAAACCTCAAACGTTTGAAAAATGCTTTCAAACACCACCTTAGTTACTCTTTGTCTAAGGCTGAATCATATCTCTTCTCAGTTCTCTCACTCGAAAATCGAAACTTGAAGCACATCAATCGGAAGCTGCTGGCTGGTCCGTCTCAATGGTCTCATCGTCTAGAGGGGAGAGTGGAGGCTACCCTACCAGCTGGAAGCACATCGTCTCACCGTCTAGTTCATCCGTCTGGAGACCATCTGCTCGGCCGTCCGTCAACAGTAAGTCAGTAAGGAGTAACTCCCACTCCCTTTGTTACCCAACGATCAATGACAAACTGAAAGTCTGAAGTGTTGATTTTTTATTGTAAAATCTTTGGTCTTCCTCCATTTAAACATTTTGATTTTTTTATAATGTTGATTATTTTTTGAGTGTCAAAAAAATTGAAATGTTGCACGTTGGATTTTTAATGGGTGGGTGTTCATCTTGTTTATGGAGTTAATGAGTTATTATGAAAATTGCATTTCTTATAAATTTTTGTGATATTCAAACATATGGGAAAAAAAGCCTAAGACCGTGAACACCATGAAAAAAGAGAACAGAAATTGGAAAAGAAACAAGAAAAAAAAATTCACTTCTATGACTATGACTAGGTGTGAGCAAGAAGCATTTGCCTCCTAGTTCCCGACTGGTCTGAAGTCTGAACTGATCCTACTTTTAGTACATGCGTCACACAAGGTCTGAGTCTACGTCTCGAGTTGCAAATTTTAAGAATCTGGTACTGATGCAAATACGAAAGCAAGGAAGGAATTCATAATCGGGTCCATCGGATTGAACCCGATTGTCCCAAGAACCGATCTGTTGGGTTTTACTGTTTTAGGTCCAAAGTCACAGACCCTATAGGGTTTAGGTCGGTTCCGGGTCCGTGGGTTATCTTTAACAATTCCGGGACCAGTTCTACCCGGTTCCGACTCAGGTTCTACCTGATTCCGACCCGTTGACAACCCTGATGATGCCAAAGGTATGAAAACCTCCGGAATCTCTGGAATCAACTGATCCACACCACTTATGAGTTATGATTTGTCTCACGCCATGAAAATTTGGCAGACTCCCGCCTCAATTAGTCAACTTCCTTTATTTCACAAGATGAAGCCATTAATGTATTGACAGCTTAGATGAGTTTCGAAAGAACCATCCACAGACCTACTTAATCAGTCAGCGTTCCATTACATGCCTCTGCAACTTCAGATAATTCAACTTTAGAGTACTAAAACACAAGGCAATCTCATTGCCCGGTGATAGAAAAATTAATGTTAAGTTCCGTTTTCAGTATGATTTCCAGAACTAAAGAAGAAATAAATAACAACCTAGCACCTTTCTCGTCACAAGGCACAAAAAACCCCATGTTTATCTGTAACGTATAACTGACAACTACATGCAGAACTCCAAAAATAGGAGTACAATTTAATGTATTTTATTGAGGAAAAAAAACTTTTTGTATTCTATTATTATTATTGCCTATAACTGGATGCAACTATTATACACATCTTCTGGAATTTCTCCTGAAGCCCATGTTCCTCAGGAAGAAGAAGAAAGCATGCCAACACCTGGCCGATAGGCCCATGCAGGGGGCAAGCGTGCATATTTCTCCATCCCTGGCTGTTCATCATATGGTCGTTCCATGACTTTAAGCAGCCTCCGAACCTCTTCATAATCACCTTGTTCAGCCGCATCTATGGCACTCTGGCACAAATAGTTCCGTAAAATGAATTTGGGGTTGATAGAGTTCATCTGAGCCTGCCTTTGATCATCAGGAATACCACTAGCAACAAGCTTCAGGAGCAGTAAAAGAGATACATGTGAGAGGATTGAAGTTATGAATAACAAAATACGTATTCCATAGTGTGGAACAGATGACACCCTAACTCATTTAATCCTTTAGGAAATGGAATTGAGACAATAGAAACATTGAACTACTAGGCAATTTCCTAAAGGTTTCAAAGGATGCACACTTAATTTTTCAGTAAACTGCATCCATGCCGTGGATGGTAAGTATAGGCTATAGCTCCATCAAATAAATAGAATTGGTATGAGATCACTTGCAGCTTTTTTGTAGCACAATTAATCATATTCTCTGGCATTAGAACTTGGAAGTGAGAAAAGGAAAATAATTCCAAAAAAGCGAACCTCCCATACTAAAATATCTAGCTCAAAGCATGATGACATGCAAGTGCACAAAAAACAAAAAATAAATAAATCCTTGATCTCTGAGGTAGGTAGAAGTACCATTTAAGAAACAAAGGAAGGGGGCGAAAGAGTAAAAAATTAAACATTTATTATCACACCTATTATAAATATGCATATAAAGTTACAAAGGAAATGAAAGAAAGTAAAATTGCTATTATATTATACCTCTTCTATATAGACCTGCACCCAACTGATCCATGCCTCTTTGCGCTCCGTGCCTATATCTAGTAAAGCAGCCTTAAGAGGAACAAGGAGCTTATCTTTTGAGATGCTAGGGTCCGCTTTGATATTGGAAAGCAGCCGGAAGAAATTTGTATAGTCAACTTTATCAACTGCCATGTTGTTGAGAAGTTTACTGATCAACTGTTTATTGTATTTTGGAAGACCAAGTTTCCGTGTCATTATAGATTGATAATCATCCATAAACTTAGTTCCATATCTGTTAAAAGTGAAGGATATTAAGCTTTGTCATAAATTGACAACTTTATTTCTGACAAATTCCTACATGAAAGAATCAAAATTTCCAAATATACCTTTCCATGGCATAGTTTGCCTCTTTATCATTGATCATCTGAGCAGCTGAAAGAGTTGCAGTGAACTGTTTAATATTCCATAAGCAAATATCTGGTTGATTACCAAAGCAATACCTTCTCCCTGGCAAGTCGGTGGTATTTGGAGTGTAACTTGGATCAAAAGCATCCAAAAATCCATAGGGACCATAATCAATGGTGAGACCCAAAACACTCGTGTTATCAGTGTCAAGCACACCATGAATGAATCCAACCCCCTGCCATCTTGCAACCAAGGAAGCAGTACGCTCAGCAACCTCAACTGCCCAAGCTAGTTCAATTGAAAACATAAAAGATAAGTTACTGAAGATTGTTAACAAACTACACTGCCCAGAACATACATACATTTTGTGTAATTTGTGCATGCAAGGGGGGAAATGGATGATTGTCGGAATAAAAGGACAGGAGTGGGAACTGGACAACAGTCTGGAACAGTAATAGACATACATCCTATAAATGTCACATAACCTTTATTCACACATGAACAAATTATACAAGGAAAAAACTACTCAATCATCCTGGTGTAGAACAGCTCTAGAGCACAATATAGAACTGGTTAGATGAGCATACTTCTATCTTATCAACAGATAATGTTCCCCTAGACAGTCAATCTGAAAATTAAAGGTATGCAACAGAGTTCTTGCACATATCGATCTGCTACTTGCATAAAGACTTCCACTATGATCTATATATCTGGATTCAGAATTTACTGAAATAACTCCAAGCTAGCCATATAATCAAGATGTAAAAAAAAAAAAAAAAAAAAAACACCTGCATATTTATTGGATGTCAAATCCACAATCAAAGATCCCTCCTCTCCTGTGTTGAAGGATAAGCTCTCAGTCTTGCTTATCTTCTCAATATGAGGAAAGTGGTGGCGGATAGTATAGTCTGCCAAGGCTTTAACAATATCCAAGTCTTCTTTGCCTCTAGAGGCATGTATTTGGAATGAACCAAAGCGAAGAAAAGATTGAGCAACTCTGCAAACAATTGCACCAGGTTCCTCCTTTGGATTGCCACTGCACAAGAAAATCCAAAGGTTGACAATAAATAAATTGAATAATTTTAGGTAACAGTGAAAAGGAAAATAATAGAAAAACAATAGAAAAATTACAATAGGAAATATTACTGAATTCCATAACACTAGGGCTACAGAAGCAGCAAGCATGCAATGGGATCTTCTTTGGTATCTCAATTATTTGTGAGATTTGTTTTTCTCTGAATGGTAAATAATCAAAATAGACCAAAATTAACAATATAGAGGAGGTAAAAGAAAATGATGTACAAGATGGACATCAATCAAAAACTAGTATGCTCATCTTCAAAGCTATATATATTGGCTTTTCACTGTGGAAGTAAGGGCTTTCTAATAACACTATGCAAGCAAGAACAAGCCATATATTCTTTCCCCTAAATCCATTATTTTGTCAAGTCGTCAGCAATAACATTCAACCACCCCCTTGCTATCAATCTCAAAATGTTATGTCAACTTAAAAGCATTCTGATCTCTAAGCTTCCAAGGGCCTGTACTGAAGTCCTTACCCGTCTTATAGCATTTGCAATCTCCTTCAATCAAAAACTCATTTAAATCTGTTTCAATTTTAGAATTTTTAAATAAAATATAAGGGTGGATGTAAAACAATTGTGGTACAAATAGAATTAGAACTAACGTATATCATGATTCACCTAGTGGTTTTTCATAATTTAGATTCTGCCCTACATACTCATAAAACATATCCCGGGTGACATATTTGCCTGTTGTAACAAGACAAAGTGCACGGGTCGTCGGAATTCCTAAACTGTTCATTGCTTCACTACAAAGGAATTCCCTGATGCTGCTGCGCAGAACTGCAAGACCATCTTCAGAACGGCTGTAAGGAGTCTTACCAGCACCTTTAAGCTGTAGTTCCCACCTTTCAGATCGAGAATTCAGAATCTCCCCAAGAGTTAAAGCACGACCATCACCCAACTGACCAGCCCACATGCCAAATTGGTGTCCACCATAGCATTGAGCATATGGCATCCTATAAATGAATTATTAATGAACAGAATGAGTCATGAATAATTACCCCTTATCAAAGAAAAAGGCAATTTAAGGTACTAAAAAAAAAAGATAATAAACAACAGGTTAATGCTTATGACACTTACACTCCCACCAAGGGGGATGCCCCTGAGAATACGAGTGGGAAGTCTGACCTTTCAAATCTGAGATTCCAACATAAGGTGTTGTTAGCCCCATATTAAATTATGTCCCATGCATGAGAAAGAACTAAACCTGTCCATGGAAAATCTAAACAAATTCAAGATTAACCTAGGAGGATTACTGAATTGCCATTAGCTATCAGGATCCACATAATTGTTAAAGATAGGAAGTGCAAGCATGCTCTTTCTACAGTGAACAAAAATAGAATAAAATGGGATACTTGTCTGTCGCAATGTTTTGCAATACTTTTTAATAAGAGACAACAAAACATTTGATGCAAAACCCAACTGCAATAATTGAATAACTGAAACCAAATCCATTCCAGTAAAATATAAGGTTCTGGGTAATCCAAAATACTTGGGAGACTCCGGTTACTTTCAGTTGTAACAGGGAGATCTGAATTCCTTTTAAATTGAATTTGGAAAAGGCAAAAAAAACACTTGAATTACACATAAAAGAAAAAAGAGAGATAAGAGATACTCACTCTTTGGGATCCAAATCAATTAACTCAGCAACTGACTCTGACCATGTAACAAGTTTGGGGTTCTCCACTTCAGCAGAAGGGGATACCTTTGTATAGCAAGCATGTAATACCTGCAAACCAAAATAAACAGTAAATGCATCATCAAGATGTGAATGTCATAATCATAAGTAACAAACTAACCTGCACCATATCATTCATTCCCAATTCACATCCAGGATGACTAGATGCACACAGATAAAAAGGCAATTTGTAGCAAAATGAGGACATGGAATCTGCAAGTTTGAAATATAGCCATTATGTCTAAACTAATCATATAAGGTTACACCTCTGACGGGTCCACTTAAATCTGAAATTTTTCTCTGGACAACGAGGCCCCCTTTGCTTGTTAAAAGAAAATCTAAACCAGGTACAAATATTGCACTTGGTTCAAATTTGCAAATGTTAGTTTGACATGTCAATTTGCACCCCTAGCTAATAATTTAACAGTGGATATGGAGTTGAATAGAACGGATTGGCAAAACAGGATTCATGTAGCCGACCCCATATAATTGGGATGAAGAAGATGATGAATTTGCATCCCTACCTGGGGTGAAATTTGCACTTTCGCATGTTTTGGAACCTTTTAGCCATGCAAATTTTGCAACCCAAAAAGTGATAAAAATTTGCATCCTTTCCTCCCACCTTCATTCTCCCCCATATAAAGTAGGGACTGCATTATTTAGTTTTAATTTTACTCCACCAAACAAAGAAAAATATGAACATAAGTAAAACAAAAGTTTGCATTCCCATGCATTTACACCAGTGCAAATGAAAATTGAACTGCAAACAAACAGAATGCAAGTAATCATGTCACCACTTATCACTTATTAGTTGAGAACGTGTTATGATCCATTTGTCCCATGTTGGTAGTATGGGATGCTAATGTGAGGTATCCCACATCGGTAGTATGGGATGCTGTTGTGGGGTATATATGTGTTTGGGTTTCCTCCCTCTAACAGCTAGCTTTTAGGGGTGAGTTCTCCTAAGGCACATAACAACATGTGTTGTCTTTACTCTTATAACATTGTAAAATTTTCATAAACAAGAATTCCCCTTCATATTCATGTCCAAAAAAAGGAGAAACTGCAAATAGTCACTCAGTTCAACAACTTTGACATGATAGTCTAATTAGAATTCAGACACATATCGTTAGACATCCCAATAAGATCTAATTGGCTTTCAGAGTTCCAAATGACACTAGTTCTCTGAGCTGACTGTGCACCAACATACAGAAAGGTCATCAGAAGAAAAGAAAAAAGAGGTCTATTGTAGTCAAATAAGCTATTGCCAGGAAAAAAAAACACATCAAATAAGAAATTGCATAAAAGGGAAAGTGTGAACGCTAGCCCTTTAAGCTAAACCAGTAGCAGGAAATGGGTCCATTCTTGCAATTGGCCATGTTTCTTCTCTCATTTAGAACTCATCTTCAATATTGTGTGCCCATTTGCAATGCATCCGGAGACCAAAAAAAAACTTAAAGGATTACACATTTTGCATGAAAAAGCACTTGAGACCCATGAGACCCATCCCTTATGCACACTTTGACCATCAAAGTTTT